CTGCTGTGTAGAAAGAATCATATCAACAGTCATGGTGCAAGCTGCAAGTACTGGATACCGTAAAATACGAAAGAAACGAAATTAATTATTTATGTGCTGCTCCACTAGCGCTTTAGATTTGCAACTCACCACACAGCAAAAAAAAATGTGATATCGATCAACGTAATGGATCATTTTAGATGGCTGAGTTTTGAACCCACCACAGCTTTCATTTGGCGTTACTGTATACGGACGAACCAATGTAAAATACTGTGGTAGCCACAGTACGATGCTGTCAAAACCTCAGCATCTTCAATTATCCATTCAAGCTGATGTATGAAATAATGATGTTATAGCAAAAATCAGATACATACAATATTACATCAATGGATGTAATTTTGTTCGCAACATCGGTATACATCGTACAACGTAATATTACACCACCAGCGGAATGACCTCTGTGCAGCTGTTTGGATGTAATATTCAACAACTTTTTTTTTCTGTGCAGGTTACGTTGTGTTCGGAATCGAACAACCGATGGTCTCGAAGGAACCAGTTCACGGGAGAATAACGTCGGGAATAACAGAACGGATGGCGGTAGAAAAACTTTCGGACGTCACACGCGTTTAACTTCATTGTAAAGGCCTGTATAGAGATCGAAGCGAAGCGAAAATCTCATACAAAATACTGCATTTTTCACCTGCGTGAAAAACGCAATTGGCAAATATTTCGCTTCGCTTTGAACTTTGAAGGCCTGTTTAGAGATCGAAGCGAAGCGAAAATCTCATACAAAATACTACATTTTTCACCTGCGTGAAAAACGCAATTGGCAAATATTTCGCTTCGCTTTGAACTGTAAACAGATACGATCCAGCGAAATGTTATTTTGTGGATGGTATCTCGCGTCACTTTTCAAATAGACCAATGTAACATATCCACCATTTTGAGAAAATCGAAGTTGAAGTTCGACAGATTATTATTTTAACTGTTTAAAAACAATACATTTTGCAATACTATTTTTAATGTAGTCAGTGTATAATAACGTTGAAAATTCAGAAGAAACGGTAAAATCACAATTTTACTTTGAATTTCATGCTACAACATAGAAAAAACCACATAGGACGTTTTGACAAGTCGAGTTGTACATCGGACATGTTACATTGGACGATTTTTCTCAATGACATAATCAATGAGTGTTACATTGGACGTTTTGTCTACATGATACTAGATTCCCTTTCACAGATTTCAGAGTATAGTACCTAACTTTAGATTGGCCCCGCCTTTGGAAAATGAGCACCAATCATGTTAGGCAGTCCGAATGACCGAAGTAACAATCATGTATCCATCATTTCAATCTGTACATTGGACAATTTTTGATCAATGATTATCTTAAATAAATGAAAGTAAATTTGGATGGATGTTTTTGTATCACATACAATGACAGAACAGCAATAGTTTGTATCGCTTAACTCGATTTGTTTACATTTGTTACATTGGTCTATTTGAAAAGTGACGCGAGGTATCTTTTTCGCTTACGTTCATTTTTTTTTCGCGCATGCAGCGCTAGCGAAAAGAGCAGCAGGTAAGCGAAAAGTTGACGTTTCGAGAAAGAGCGTATCTGTCAGAATTTCACTTCACCGATTTCGTTTCAGGCTGCGAAAAAAGGAAACTGGAAAATGTTCCACAAAAATTTTTTCACAACCTTTTTCGCTAGCGAAATTTTATGATTTTTCGCGTGCTTCAATTTTTGTTTCGCTTCGATCTGTATACCAGGCTTAAACAGATACGATCCAGCGAAATCTAATGTTGTGGATCGCATCTTTTTCGCTTACGTTTATTTTTTTTTTCGCGCATGCAGCGCTCGCGAAAAGAACAGCAGCTAAGCGAAAAGTTGACGTTTCGGGAGAGCGTATTTGTCAGATTTTCACTTCACCGGAGGTGTAAACTATAGTCGCTATATATAGCGACTATAGTGTAAACTGATCGATTTCGTTTCGCATGAACTGTAAACTGCGAAAAAAGGAAACTGAAAAATGTTCCACAAACATTTTTTCACAACCTTTTTCGCTAGCGAAATTTTATGATTTTTCGCGTGCTTCAAATTTCGTTTCGCTTCGATCTGTATACTAGGCTTAAGGGAGCAAAATCACAAATGGCGTGGTCGTGGCTTTTTTTTCATCCAACTCAAAGTTATTTCCACTCCACGCAAGCTTTATAGTAAGTTACTCAGCGTTGAGTAAATTTAGGCCCACCAAATTTCCTTTTTGTTTTTACCCATCTTAGGGTAATATACGTATAACTTAAAGAGCCTAAATTTATAAAGAGGCGACATGTCAAAATTGGAACAATCGATTGTCTGTCAAAGTCATAGGAAAAGTCAGTCCAATCGAGCAGAAGACCTGTCAAATGGATAAGATGTCGTCTCTTTATAAATTCAGGCTCTTTAGTATAACTCAACCGTTGAGTTAAAATTAACCATCATTACACATTGATGTTTACCCAATGGGATACTTAAATTCGGGTTATTTAAACTCAAGCTTTGGGAAAGTGTCATTTTCTGTGTATGTTGGGAGTGACAAGTTGACAAAAATGAACAAAGTCGATCGGATTCATAACAGTGCCAACATTTCAAAGGGGCGTAATTGCATTTGTAAACAATGACTTTCGTCTTCGATTTCTCGCGAATGAAAGCTCACTCATGAAAATGAATGACACCAGCAGCACGCAGGAAAATCTATTGTCGAAACAAACATATTTGAGGTAAATTTAAACGTAAACTCTGTTTGTTCTGGCCACAAATATAAAATAGGTTCATTTCAAACGTATTCCATGTTAGAAGTCATGCGTGATATCGATGTTTAAAATAAAAATAATGCTACGTTTATTTTAAAAATATTCGTGTTGAAAATAAACGTAAATATTTTTGTATGATTTGACAACTATGGGAACAAAAATAAATATGTTTATTTTAAACATGCTGTTCATTTTTAAAACAAACATACATATACTATACATTATAAATTACTTTAGAAGTTATTTGAATGTGCTATAAAACAAAATAATTCGGAAACATATCTGCAGACTGGTGCATCTAAATTCCAGCCAGTTTTCGGAGTGGATTAAAGGTGGTCTGGAGGTATGGTCATCCTGGTCGGGGATCAAATATGGTGCCTCCAAAGTATCAGCTTCTTTCTACGGGGAAGGGGGAGGAACCGGAATAGATTCAGAATCCATTTCGGGTTTTCGTTTTTTTTTCGATGTGATGGGGGAGAGTCAAATGACGATCGGCGAAACGATGGAGTGACGTTGAATTGTGGGGTTTCGCCTCGGGCTCTGCTGGTTTTGTCGAGCTGGAACATTATTTGGATGATTGCCTAGATGGGTTTCCTGATCGATGACTTCGGTTTCGCTGCTTGCGGGTCGTTTTCGTTTGAGTTCCGAGGAATTAGGTTCTGCAGCGTGACGTCACGAATGAACTCAGTGTTAATCGGCTGAACCTTTTTGACAGTTCAGTGGTACTGTTTACAAGCACTTAGTCGTTTTTTCGAAAAAAAAATTCTAAAATTTCCGAATTTTAACTTAAAAATTGTCGAGGAACAGCGCATTGCAAGGATGATGCTCGTGAACATTGCAGAAATGTGGTTTACATCTCACTGCAGTCTGAAAAATTATCGAGAAAATCCACCCAAGAAAAAATCGGCTAAGTCCACGTAAACAGTACCACTAAACTGTCATCAGATTGAGGTTAACCCCGACGGTGCAAAACCTAATTAGGTTCTGCAGCGTGACGTCACAAATGAACTCAGTGTTAAACGGCTGAACCTTTTTGACAGTTCAGTGGTACTGTTTACAAGCACTTAGTCGTTTTTTCGAAAAAAAATTTCTAAAGTTTCTGAATTTTAACTTGAAAATTGTCGAGGAACAGCGTGTTGCAGGAATGTTGCTCGTGAACATTGCAGAAATGCTGTGTACATCTCACTGCAGTCTGAAAAATTATCGAGAAAATCCACCCAAGAAAAAATCGACTAAGTCCACGTAAACAGTACCACTGAACTGTCATCAGATTGAGGTTAACCCCGACGGTGCAAAACCTAATAGCAGGAGCTAAATTCTGCCAAATGTAAACAAGAAAAAAGGTGAAGGCATGACACGCTAAAAATAGTTTCCTCAAATTATATAATTTTGAAATAAACATGCTTTTGAATTAAAATTTTTGATTAAAATACATATTTTTGATGCAAACATGTTTTCAATTTACTTTGAATGATTAATATGTTTATAGAATGAACATTTATATTTTTGATTTAAATGAACAAAATTCGTTTCCGTGAGGTATACCTGTATAGAGGAATGTTTCCTGTCCCAGCTAGCATTAAGGTATCAGGTAATTTGGAGGGGTGGGCTTTTATTTGCGAGAAATCGACGGCTAAAGCCATTGTTTACAAAAGCAATTACGCCCCTTTGAAATGTTGCCACTGAATGTCGATGTTGTCAACTGGTCACTCCCAACATAGTTTACCCATTTTTGGGGAGGTTCAGATTTGACCGATCTGGATGGACTCAACCCAAATGTGGGTAGTTTTGAAATAACGTGTTAGACTTGTTAAATAAGTGACAGTTCGTTAGCAGCAAAATGGCCGTGTGATAATTATTTTTGAGCAGATACCAATTTACTGAAAGAATGGAATACAACTGCGAAAAACATCAAAATTTAGTGAGGAAAATCAAGTTCAGTGAACCAGAATTGCTTTTGCGGAAAAATTTGAAGCTGCAGTGCGGAGTTAATAGCCGAATCGTTTTCAAAGATTTCCATCGACTACGCCTTTGTGCGAGGAAAATCGGTCCTTGGAAGAAAAACAATAAGAATAGTAAGCAGAAGGGTTTTGCTGCCGAAGGTCGCTCTCGAGAGAATTTTATGACAAATGGTTCGCCAAGGAAATACCGTCGTGAACATTGTTATGATGACGATGATTTCATACTAACGAAATCATGCGTTGTATATATGTTCTAACAACTACTGATCCTAATGTGTGGTGCGTCACTCAAAGAAGGCTTGTTAATAACGTGTGAATATTGTTTAAGTATACTCTGTAAGGTTAATCGTTAATGGAAGTGGAAATATAATCATGATGTCAAATTGGAACCAAAATACCAGAATGACCTCTACGACGGCAGGTGCATGTCCTCTCTACACAATGGGTAGACCACAAAGCAAACCTCTTCTTTCGGTGGACAGTAATTGCGTGACCAAGAATGGAGTATCGTCGAGTAGAAGCTTCAGCACAATGGGTATAGGAATTATCGGCACTATTCTACAAAGGGTGGCCAATATATTCATACCTAATGTAACACAGATGAATACATTGGAAATAAACAAACAGTCACTATCGGCTCCGGATATATTTGTCGATATTAGCATTAATACACCGATCTTCGAAGCTGCCCATGGAAAAACTAAGCTTACGATTCCAGAAGACGAAGCTAACTGTGATCAAACTAAATCTCTTACCGTTGGAAATCCTCCTTTTGACTGGTGTCCAATTAGAGATGAAGTGGATGCGATGAGGAGTACTGACCGCGAAGAATTGGGAAAGAATAGAAAGAGAGTGAAGGCTGTATGTAATCAAGAAGCATCTTCTAGTATGAGCGAGCATAGTTCCATTAGGACACGGAGGGCCGTTGATAGGTCACTTAATGTATACTCTAAACCAAAAGGATGCTACAAAAATCGCAAGGAAAAGGATCGATATAATCTGCTGATTGATATAATGGAAGATGTTCGACATATTTCCGACGATAATGAATTCGATTCAGAAACAGAAAATAACAATCCTGTTCAAAGCCTTGGCTATGAAATAAGAAATAGTATCTGTTCGATTTCGTTCTCGGCTAAGAACATGACCGGTGTTCTAGATCTATCAGAAAAATCATTTCCCGCCATCTGTTCACCGATTCAAGAAGATCGCAATTGCGTGGTTCCGGGTGATAAGCGCGAAAGTCGACCATCGGAGAGTGATAGCGAGAATAGTTTTGTTATTTTTTCGGAAAATGTGCAAATGACAACTCCATCTGCAAGCCCCCCCATGAGGAGGGATCTCTGTTCAACGATTAATAACTTCTTCACCCCGTCAATGTTAGAGAGACGACAGCGACAGAGACAAGTGTCGGAGTGCAGCGATGATAGTATCGTGTTTTGCTACGAAAGCGATCAAGAAGAAAATGTCTGTCAACATGAAACGGATCTTGATTCGGATGACGACTCTGAAGAAGAAACAGATGAAAACAGTTGCAAAGACGATAGCGAAGACACCATATCACATCAACCGGACTCCGGTTTTGAAGAGAGAAAGGTAGGTTGTAAGTAGGTGTGGGGCGATTCAAATATGACATCCATAAATTTTTTGATTTTTTTTACGGTTAAATGCTTGTTCGATGAACAACTTGCGAGTGTTATGTCTGTGTTAATACTGTCCTATTGTTGCAATTTACGATAATATATAAATGTATTGTAAACCCATATATTATGTCGTACACCAATTGTGGTAATCCTATGATTATTTGACCAATTCAATTTATTTATACTTAGGTAAACTGTCAACAATAGCATTTATTTATTTTTTTTTTTTCATTTCGTTTATTTGGCAGGCTCAAATGTTATAAAAATAACTTAGCGGAGCCGAGTAACATAGAATACCAATTATGGTACTCAAAATACATAAAAAAATATGTACAAATATATTTTATCATATGATTTTTCTGGGTGGCAATCGAAGCGGCGACAAAGCGATCTTCTCCCGTGCACGCAACTTCTTTCTTTCCCGAATTTGTTCCTCATTTTCATTGAACCCGAATCGTGATCGCTGCTGCTGTTTCTGGACATCGTTTCCCGTTGCAGCCTCTGCGCTACTCTCGTCAGTCGTCGGGGTAGTCACGTCCATTTCGTTATCTGCATTCAACATCTCCAACCCCGTATCCGTTTCCTGATCGCTAATGACAAACGACGCACCTTCCACCACTACACCAGCATACGTACTGCTGCTGTTTTGTTTTCTTTCACTTTGCTTTCCTTTTTCATTCAGTTGCTTCTCCGGTTCCTTCCGAGCCTTCCGCTTGGGACAGGAAAGCTTCCGGTGTCCGTCCGCCTTGCACAGAAAACATTTATCTTTGTTGCCATCATAAAAAATATTTCCTTTGCGATTGAAGAAATGTAATGACGTGGGGATTTCCTTCTTCACATCCATATATACACCGCGTATCCCTGTATATACCTCAAAACACAGATCGGTTGGAAATTTCTCCCGGATGATGCGTTTAATTTTCCCATATTTCCCCAGCACTTTATCCAGCTCGTTGTCGGGTACCTCTGGTGGCAAGTCATACACACGCACATATTGAATGAATTCACCAGCATGCGACATGCGTACCTTTGCCGTCGTTCCATTCGCATAATGGAAGATTAAATCCTCCGAATTGAATGTCAGAGCATGGAGCATCGCTTCCTCTGATTTGAACTTCATGAAGACTCCCCTTTCCTCACCAATGCGATAAACAGCTTCCATTTCACCCGGATCCGCGTCGAGTGCTTTGGCGAAATTTACTATCTCTCCGATGTTTGGTTTGGCATCACAATGACTGAAGCTAAACTTGATGGTGTTTTTTACTTCACACATCTTGCGCCGTAGCAACAAAAGGCACCGAACTGCTAGCAGCGAACAAAGAGCAACTATATAATAGCGAGTCTCGAAAACAGGCTATCGTGTGGTTCACAACGAAATAAAAAATCGACTGCTGCTGTAGACAGCTGTGGGACAACTACACAATAGCATTTATGGTAATGAGGTATTCGTTTTCACTCATACATTCTTGTGAGCAGTTCCACGCCAAAGGACGCATCGGAATGCATAATTGTATATGACATTTCTCGCGTCACTTTTCAAATAGACCAATGTAACATATCCACCATTTTGAGAAAATCGAAATTGAAGTTCGACAGATTATTATTTTAACTGTTTAAAAACAATACATTTTGCAATACTATTTTTTAATGTAGTCAGTGTATAATAACGTTGAAAATTTAGAAGAAACGGTAAAATCACAATTTTACTTTGAATTCCATGCTACAACATAGAAAAAACCACATAGGACGTTTTGACAAGTCGAGTTGTACATCGGACATGTTACATTGGACGATTTTTCTCAATGACATAATCAATTAGTGTTACATTGGGCGTTTTGTCTACATGATACTAGATTCCCTTTCACAGATGTCATAGTAGAGTACCTAACTTTAGATTAGCCCCGCCTTTGGAAAATGAGCACCAATCATGTTAGGCAGTCCAAATGACCGAAGTAACAATCATATACCCATCATTTCAAACTGTACATTGGACAAGTTTTGATCAATGATTATCTTAAATAAATGAAAGTAAATTTGGATGGATGTTTTTGTATCACATACAATGATAGAAGAGCAATAGTTTGTATCGCTTAACTCGATTTGTTTACATTTGTTACATTGGTCTATTTGAAAAGTGACGCGAGATTTTTCAATAAATGGTAGCACGAAAACGTCACTTTTGATCGAAATGACGTCTGAGAGAAAATTGTTGAGAACACTAAAGTCTTTCTGGGAAAATACACACGGTAATTTTTGTTGTTGTTATTTTGAGTAAAATTCCAAAAAAGTGATAAAAATCAATATTTCAAAAAGTATATCTTCAATTTTTATATTTAAAAAAGCTCATGAAAAATGCAAACTTTTGGAATATTTCAAACTACGGATACTTGAAAAAAAAACGACAAAAATTGTAGAACAAGAACTTTTGGTAAAAAATTTAGGCTTTGAAGACCCTCCCTTTTTGCGGATTTTTAATAAACACCTATTCTAATTTTTACGTATCTCTGAAACCAGTAAAACGACATTGGGTAACCTTTTTGAAGGTTTTTTCGTTTGAAAAATTTAACTGCAAATATCTCAAAATGCCCCCACTTTTTTAATTTTGATGCCGCCAAAGTGTTTAGCAGACTTTTTATATAACAATCACTTAACGAGAAAAAAAAAACAATATGTTTCGTTTAGAAGATATTGAATTTTAAATGCATACCAAAACAATTCGATATAGAATGTTGATATATTCTTGAAAGTTGTTTAAAACTATCAAATCTGAAAGTATGCTGAAGACCTAATCCTTCTTGTTTTTAGTACATACTACTAAATTCTGAGATAACCTTATAAGTTGAGTTTTGGAAGCGTTAGGAGGAAGATTGTTTGTAAATAAGAAGATAAAATATCTAAACCTGTTTGCAGTCTGCTGCAAATAGTACGAATCCTTTTTTTTTTTCCTTTAGCGGAAATGCCTGTGTCATCGGCGAACAACGATTTGTGGCAACGCTGTGGCAAATCAGGGAGGTCTGAAGTGCAAATGCTACCCTGAGTAACAGGCAGTCGATCAGACTTGGAATTTTGATAATTTACCTGCAGAGTTCTGTCAATTAAATAATTTTGAACTAGCTTCGTAAAATTGAGTGGAGAATTTTTTTTTCAATTTGGCAATCAAACCTTAATGCTAAACACTGAACGAATTAAATTATTAACTATTATGAGTTTGTAGTTGAATGCCCATGGCGAAATTCAAACTGCTCATCTGCAAACATTGAGTTCGTATTGATGTGAAATATTATTCTAGTCAAAATTATCTTTTCATCAAGTTTACTTATTGAAGAAAGCAGCTTACGGAACGGTAGCTAGAAGCTTCAGCTGGATTTTTATCCTTGAAGTAACTACTTTTGCATTGTTCCATTGATCAGGAAAGCAGGCTTGCTTCCACTTACTCGCTTTAAAAAATGATATTTGAAATTATAAAATCATTGGATGCTATAATGATATTTTTTACGTGTAAGGTTCAATAAGAGGTTGAAAAGTATGTGTTTGACACATAACACCTGTCAATTTTGCATTCAGAGAGTAGCATTAAGCGAATTTATGACTCGTTCACTCAGAATGAGTTCATGAATCATAAAATCACAGATTGCGACCCTTTGAAAACCAAAATGGCAAGTTTTATGTTTTCAACACATACTTTACAATCTCTTCTTGTAACTTACAAGTACTAATTATCATTATAACATCTAATGATTTCATTATTAAAAAAAAACAATTTTTTATAGCAAGTGAGTGGAAGCAACCCTGCAGGAAAGTATTCCAAATGGAAAGATCTGTTAAATATAATTTTACCAAGAAAGACAAAGTACTCTCTGGGAGTTTTTTTTTTATGAGTACACTGAAGTCTTTTTTTACACGGTTTTTTTTTACGCGGTTTTTTTTTTACACGGTTTTCCACGATTTACACGGTACGTTTTTAACGATTTCTCGACAACGATACAACCTATCGACTTGATTCCAATCACATTATCCGTTTCAAGCCATAGGTAATCGTATGGCATACTCAAAATAAAATCACAATTTTTGGTGTAAATACAGAAATTTTTAAAATATGTCTATATGGACCATATCATGCTGACAGTTCTCAAACTGATTGTTGCCCGATAAAGGCAGGTAGTGCCGGCAGTTCTAGTACTGCACTGCCAATATTGTATGCAAGTTGATTAGATAAAATGTTCCAACACAACGTAGGTTTAAATAGACAATGTTAGGGAATAAAAAGTAGTTAGTAAAGTTCCAACAGCCAAGAAATAAAGATCGTTTGTTTCCAATTAAATAAAGTTTTGGTGATCTTGAGTGCCTACTCCGCCGATTTTGCCGTTCCGTTTTTTGAGTGACTAGTGTCCGTGTGTGATCCCGAAATACCCCGCCGGAAAACCACGATCCTGCCCTAACACATGCTTTAATTACAAATGGCATCAAAATCCGTTTTTTTTTAAACGTTCAAGCATGCGAAAAATCAAAATATCGTAGGTTTTTTTTTACACGGTTTTTTTACACGGTACGTACATAGAGGTAACTCTAAGACTAGAAGGTCCCGAAATAACGTGCTCAACTTTTTGGCTCAGCTCTGGTACTATCTTCGGTCCCAAGCTAATCGATTCACCCCTCGAAACATAAGAAAAACCAATAACCCCTCATTTTATCTGTCAAACTTTCATAGCGAATCAAAACAAACATTGCGTAGTACTAGAATTTCGACTAGAATGGGGTACGTTAATCGTTTGCTTGGGACCAATAGGCTAGTCAAGTAGTGAGCCAATTTAAAATCGTTAGTTTCGTATTGATTGTTGGTACGTATCCCCCGTGTAAAAAAAGACCTGAGTGTATATTAAACAATCAATCATCACGTGGAGCTTTCATATTTTGAAACTTTTGACGTAGGACTACGTCTTTCATTTCTATACT